CAGGTTGCTAGCAACCAAGACACCACAGTACCACCACAGGTGATTAACCTAATGGTGCAAATCCACATAATAGCTGGACAAGCTATTAGCCATAAACAGGCATATTTTCAACCCTCTCCTGCATTTTTCAACTTGGGACTGTCCGTGGAAGCCACGAACCAGGTGAGTCTTGACTCCAGGACCACATCTATTGCTGTGTGTAACACTGGCATGGATGAGGTACTGATCCCAAAAAACACTATGCTAGGATGGTTGATTTCAACTGACTTTCATGATTTTGAACTACTGACATACTACACTGGGTTACTGTCGTTTTGTGTCGAGTTTGCTTAGATGTGGCATCTACCTTGGATCAGTTGTAGATAAAACATCCAAAAACTACTTTCTGACCGTTTCATTAAAATCTGTTCAGTTGTTCATGAAATATTTTGGTAACAGACACAAACACACCAGACTCTTTACATTATTGCCCACTTTTCCTTGTGGCTGTATGTGAGCACAATGGTTTACAAACATTCATTTAAATGAATTCATCTTTATATTTGTATTTATACACCTGCTTCAGCAAACTCACAGTCATCTAGAAAAGGCAGACAGCACTGTGAAAGTCATGTTCTTTGATTTCTCCAGTGCATTTAACACAATCCAGCCTGATTTTTCCTCCACCTGAGTCTTCTGTAGTTTCTGACAAAGCATGTCAGAAACTACAGAAGACTCAGGTGGAGGCCTCAACAATCACCTGGATCAAATACTACCTGACAAACAGACCATAGTTTGTGAGACTGAAGGGTTGTGTGTCTGACCAGGTGGTCAGTAGCTCAGGAGCACCACAGGGGACTGTACTCTCACCACTCCTTTTCACTCTGTACACCTCAGATTTCCAGTATAAAACAGACTCCTGTCATCTGCAGAAATATTCAGATGACTCTGCAGTGGTGGACTCCTCTAGAACTTTTGGAGATGATTGTACAAAGAAGGATTCTATAAAATGAAGAACATTATAGACAACCCTCAGCATCCTCTTCATCAGACTGTCATACAACAACAAAGTGTCTTCAGTCAGAGGCTTCTTCAGATCCGTTGTAGGACAGACCACTACAAGAGATCCTTCCTGCCCACAGCCATCAGTATCTATAACAACTCTTTAATGAAACCAGGATGATGAGTTACAACATTTAATTTCCCTCTGGGATTAATAAAGTATTTTTGAATTGAATTGAACAGAATTTATACTTAGAACCTTCTGATGGGGAAAGGAGTACAAGTTTATACTAAAACATAAAGAATAAAATCCACCTTTACTCAGAATACAAGCAGCTAACTAAAACTAAACAAACTAAACTAACATGCTCATCTGAACAATCCTATCTTCACCCTACACTTAAACTGTGAGGTTTTTCATTTTTCTTCATGGACCTGTGACACAGAGCCCTGACAACGACTTCACCTGTGTCCTGATTTTTGCTAGAAACTGAGAAGAGCAGAATGTTAGTAGAATGATCACAAAATATGAGCCTTTTGTTTAAGTGTGGAAAACCTGTTTCTATAACGTGAGTATACACAAAAATGGTCGTGTTGCTAATAGCCTAACGTTAGCTGCAAACAGTTAGCAACATCACAACGATCAAACTAACGTTACTTACCCTCGTAGTTGTGCAGGTAACTTGAGATATACAATTTAAATCCCTTGTTACGTTTGCTTGTCGGAGCAGGGGACCAGGCATCAACAATACGATGAACATCGCTGATATTTATCTTGGGCAGCTCTTGTAAACATCTAGAAAACGCCATTTTCACCGAGACCGGGGATTAGACCGGAAACTGGAATGCCGACATCCGGTCAAAGGGGAAGTGATTCAGGACGCATGTGCACAGAGCCTATTGTTTATAAAAGTGAACAAGTTAGAGAGTATATTTTTCTTGGGAATGTATTATCATTAAGATTTATCCAGTATTACATTTTACAAGAAGCAAAGCCTTTAAAAATGTTTGGTTCTAAAAGACAAAAAAAGACCAGTTGAAATATTTATTTCCTAATAACTTAATTTACTTTGTTTTATTCTACATTCAGCTTTTGTCAGAAGATGTGATTGTGTGTTTTTTGCATCAATCTTGCACAAACTTCTCCATAATCTGTCTCCTCTCTGGTTAATCAGGCAGAATGTTGGTGTGGCTTTTCAAGAAGAGTTATCGGACCTGCTTCTGCTGAAGATGCTGCAGGCGGCCACCCGAGCATCCACCGACAAAGACAAGGTGACTGCCTTCACACACACAACACGAGCAACTGCTTCAGTTGGTCTGGACGCTCGTGTGACTGTGGAACGTCTGTTGACTGTTTGCCTCTCTTCCATCCTCCCAGGTCAAGTCTAATGCGGTGCGAGTGCTTGGAAATCTGCTTCATTTCCTGCGTCACAGTCAGATGAGCCGCTCTGTGTTCCAGCGCCCTTTGGAAGATGCCATTCGGGCTCTGATTAGAACCGTTCTGTCCGAAGCTACCATGAAGGTCCGGTGGAATGCTTGTTATGCCTTGGGGAATGCTTTCAGAAACCCCGCCCTGCCTCTCGGTAAGTTCTCCTTCTCAGGGTTTTTATCTCTGTGGGAACGTTTATCATCTGCGTTGAAAACAGCTGGTCAGTTAGTTTGTTTCTTCCTGACAGAATCTGCCCCGTGGTCCCACGACGCGTTCTCCGCCCTCAGCCACGTCGTCACTTCCTGCGAGAACTTAAAGGTCCGGATCAAATCTGCCGCCGCCCTCGCAGTCCCAGCCCAACGTGGCTGCTATGGCGACACGAAGCGGTTCTGCTGCATTTGGCGCTCGCTGGCGACCTCGCTGAAGAACAGCGAGAACATAAATGACTTCCTGGGGTATCGCTACAGCACCAGCCTGAGACACACGCTGGCAGAAGCTCTGCTGCACCTGCTCAGCCTCAGCGAGGCGCTGGACATGGTTGAGCTTGGGGCGTTTCTGGCTGGGGAGGAGGGGAGGGGCATCATTGAGCACCTGGTCAAGTATCTCAAAGAGGAGGGAGAAGGAGATGATGAAGCAGGAGGAGACCGTGTCCACCCCCAGCAGAGGATTGTTGGTCTGCAGCGGACTCTGATCAGACTTAAAGAGCTGAAGGCTGGAGGACGTGCAGAGGAGGAAGGAAAGCAGGTGGTGCTTCAGTTCCTTGAGGATCTTTTAAAGATCTGTGAAGAGTGTTAGCATTTCTCTTCCAAACCCTGCAAGCCAGAAAACAATGACTGAAGACAAGAGGCTCGGTTTGTTTTTATACACATGAAACACGATGATCCATGGATGGATGCAGATATAAACCACAGCACTAAATGCTGACTGTACTCACAGAATGGACATTCATCCTCTTGTTTCCTTTCAGAGGTTCTGCTGTCCAAAATTATTGTTTCACTTTATTCTTCTGCATGATTCAGTATTTCCTCTAATTTTTATTCCAAGACTTCTGACCACAAAAGGCTTTCTGAATTATGAAACTTCCTGTAAAACGAATCAACGAGACAAAGTTTTCCTCTGCAAAGGAAACAGAATCATGTTTATTTTCATTATGTGGCTGCTTTACAAAAAGCATCTGTGTCTGGTTTAAATTAAGTCTAGTTATAGTTTAGAGGCCTCTCTAGTCAATGATGATCTCAACGGGCTGCTGGGAGGAGTGACTATCGCTCAGAGGGGAGTTCTCCCCAACACTCAGGTGGTTCACTCAGGAAGACTGAGACTCGCCAGGTCCAAGTGAATGGATCAACATCTGTAACTGCTACAAGAGATCCTTCCTGCCCACAGCCATCAGCTGATCAGCATCTATCACTTTCATGAAACCAGGATAATGAGTTACAACATTTAATTTCCCTTTGAGATTAATTTATGTATTTTTGAATTGAAATGAATTGTGGAACATTTTAAGTTATCAGTCAAGCGATCCCTTTGAATTTATTCCTCAAAATATGAAGAATAATGTTTACATAAAAGCAGAGCTACAGGTGCATTCAACCTTCTGCAGCTGTCATCCTAACTTCATAAAGTCTGTTCGCTCAGTGAAATGTTTGAAATCAAACGGATCAAGATAAGTGAAACTACATCATGTTCTCTTCTGAGTGCTAAGTGCCTTAATCATCAAATGTAATTTAGAAATAAAACTGTAAAATGCCTGCTTTCAAAATGTTACTTTTTTATCGCTGTAATTTTTAAGGTAAAGATAAGTGGACTACATAAGTCCATGTTTAAACTTTCAAACTTGTCATGAAATTATTCAAAAATAGTTGTTTTTAACCTTTTTAGTGCAGCCTCACTCGTTCTTAAACTTAAAAAAAGACAATAAATCAGTGGTCTTGTTCGTTTTGTTTTTATTAGTGCAACAGGACACAAGCTGCAGTTATTTGTCACTTTTACATGAAGGACTGGGATCTGCTGACAAACCCGTGCTGCTAACTTTTTAACACAGTATGATTTAACAAAGTTAAGTCAGGTCCTCAGGACGGATTAAAAAAAATTAAAAACTTGTTGAAATGTTTAGTCTTATCCAAAAGACTTCTTCAATCTGAGGAGCTGCAATAAACTCAGTCTTCTAAGTAGCACCTTCCTATAGTGGATCAACCAGTTTGCTGGTGACATCCAGAACTACAAAACTGGATTCCAAAAAAGTTGGGACACTAAACAAATTGTGAATAAAAACGGAATGCAATGATGTGGAGGTGCCAACATCTAAAATTTTATTCAGAATAGAACACAAATCACAGATCAAAAGTTTAAACTGAGAGAATGTATCATTTTAAGGGAAAAATCTGTTGTTTCCAAATTTCATGGCGTCAACAAATCCCAAAAAAGATGGGACAAGTCCATTTTTACCACTGCGTGGCATCCCCCCTTCTTCTTACAACACTCAACAGACGTCTGGGGACAGAGGAGACCAGTTTCTCAAGTTTAAAAATAGGAATGCTCTCCCATTCATGTCTAATACAGGCCTCTAACTGTTCAATCGTCTTGAGCCTTCTTTGTCGCACCTTCCTCTTTATGATGCGCCAAATGTTTTCTATAGGTGAAAGATCTGGACTGCAGGCTGGCCATTTCAGTACCCGGATCCTTCTCCTACGTAGCCATGATGTTGTGATTGCTGCAGAATGTGGTCTGGCATTATCATGTTGAAAAATGCAGGGCCTTCCCTGAAAGAGATGACGTCTAGATGGGAGCATATGTTGTTCTAGAACCTGAACATAGTTCTCTGCATTAATGGTGCCTTTCCAGACATGCAAGCTGCCCATGCCACAAGTGCTCATGCAACCCCATACCATCAGTGCTGCAGGCTTCTGAACGGAGCGTTGATAACAACTTGGGCTATCCTTGTCCTCTCTGGTCCGGATGACATGGCGTCCCAGTGTTCCATAAAGAACTTCATATCGTGACTCATCTGACCACAGAACAGTCTTCCATTTTGCCACAGTCTATTTTAAATGACCCCTGGCCCAGTGCAAATGTCTGAGCTTGTGGAGCTTGCTTAGAAATGGCTTCCTCTTTGCACTGTAGAGTTTCAGCTGGCAACGGTGGATGGCACAGTGGATTGTGTTCACTGGCAATGCTTTCTGGAAGTATTCCTGAGCCCATTCTGTTATTTCCTTGACAGTGGCATTCCTGTTTGAGGTGCAGTGACGTTTAAGGGCCCCGAGATCACGAGCATCTAGTAGAGTTTTATGGCCTTGACCCTTACGCACAGCGATTGTTCCAGATTCTCTGAATCTTTTGATGATGTTATGCACGGTTGATGATGATAACTTAAAAGCCTTTGCTATTTTTAACTGGGTAACACCATTCTGGTATTGCTGCACTATCTTCCTGCGCAACAATGGTGGAATTGGTGATCCTCTTACCATCTTGGCTTCTGAGAGACACTGATACTCTGAGAAGCTCTTTTTATACCCAATCATGTTGTCAATTGACCTAATTAGTGTTAATTGGTCTTCCAGCTGTTCATTATATGCTCACTTTCCTTTTGCCAGCCACTTATTGCTACTTGTCCCAACTATTTTGGGATTTGTTGACACTGTGAAATTTTGAATCAACATATTTTTCCTTTAAAATGTTACATTTACTCAGATTAAACTTTTGATCTGTCATCTATGTTATATTAAAAATAAAATATTGACATTTGCCATCTCCACATCATTGCATTCAGTTTTTATTCACAATTTGTTTAGTGTCCCAACTTTTTTGGAATCCAGAACTAGCTGTTCACATGATAAAGGAGGACCATCAGCCTATTGACTGATCGTTAGTGCCCTGATGGCTGTTTGCTATTCACAGGAGGCTGAGTGATACTAGCAATAACAGCATTGTAAGAAGGTGATGGGCACGGAGACCTCCGCCCCTGTTTAATGATGGACAGGTTATCTTCCCAAAATGGCTTCCTTCTTTACTCCTCTCTCAAACCACCATTCCTCTCTATCAATATGAACATCTTCATCCCTAAAAGAGTGACCGCTGGCCTGGAGATGAAATCCACATTGCTCCTAACTGGGCCTTCCTGAAAGCACAGAAGAAACACAAAACAGGACTCCTAAGGCTAATGGTCCTCCTTTATCATGTGAACAGCTAGTTCTGGATGTCACCAAACTGGCTGATCCACTACGAGAAGATGCTATTTATAAGACTGAGTTTATTGCAGCTCCTCAGACTGAAGAAGTCTTTTGGATAAAAGACAAAACGTTTCAACAAATTTATAATAAATAAATAAAAATCTGTCTAGAGGACCTAACTTAACTTAGTTAGATTTTTACACTTGCATGCCTTTCCTGGAATATCTTGCAAAAAGATCTGAAGCTCTCAACCTTGACCTCTCTAAGTGGCCTCAAACATCTGCTAAGTTCCTGGCAAAAACCAGTGCAGACATGTTCCTGTTCTTAGTTTTCTGCATCACCTTACAATTTAGCTGTTTTTTTTTTGTTTTGTTTTGTTTTTTGGGTTGTTTTTGATTGTTTAATTTTTAATGGCATTTTCTTTCACTTGTTCTTCTCAATTTATATGCTTCCTTTTATGATTGTCTACTGTTGTCTTTGTTGTCCACTGTTGTCATCACTCTTTGTTAGAGTCCCTCTTGCTGGTATTAAGAGGGCCAAGGCCACCTATGCAAAGAGGATCGAGGGTCAATTCATCTCACAAGACCCTCGGAGCATGTGGAGGGGCATTAAGTGCATAACAGATTATAAAGGAAGGAGTGAACAATGCCCCAAAGACTCATCTCTGCCTGATGCCCTCAACAAGTTCTATGCACGCTTTGAAGACCCAAACAGACCACCCAGCACCAGACTCACCTCACCACCGGACGAAGAGCATCTCAGCGTGACCTCAGCAGAAGTAAGGAGTACCTTCAGGAGGATTAATCCGCACAAGGCAACTGGCCCAGACAACATCCCTGGAAAAGTGTTGAAGGAATGTGCTGATCAGCTCTGTGAGGTGCTGGCAGACATCTTTAACACCTCACTTACCCTGGAGACAGTTCCCACCTGCCTGAAGACTGCCACCATCATCCCAGTCCCAAAAAGCTCTACAGTGACTGGTCTGAATGACTCGGCCAGTGGCCCTCACCCCGATAGTCGCTAAATGCTTTGAAAAACTGGTCATGACTCGCATCAAAACAACCATCAACATCAACGAGGACCCTCATCAGTATGCATACCGTGAGAAGCGATCAACAGAGGATGCAATCTCCTCTGTGGTCCACACTGCGCTCAACCACCTGGAGCAGAAAAACTCTTACGTCCGTATGCTCTTTGTGGACTTCACATCCGCCTTCAACACCATGATCCCCCAAACCCTGATGGACAAACTATCCACACTAGGACTAAGCCCCTCCATCTGCAACTGGGTACTAGACTTTTTAACAAACAGACCACAGTTAGTGAGGATCCACAACCTCTCCTCCTCCACCATAACCCTTAGCACTGGCTCTCCTCAGGGATGTGTGTTGAGCCCCCTCCTGTTTACTCTGCTCACGTATGATTGTGCAGCTACCCATCCAGGCTGTCACATTGTAAAGTTTGCAGATGATACAGCGGTGGTGGGATGCATCACAAACAATGATGAATCCAGCTACAGGCAAGAGGTGGAACACCTGGAGAGCTGGTGCAGAGAGAATAACCTTCACATCAATGTGAAGAAGACAAAGGAGATGATTGTGGACTTCAGAAGGAACAAAAACATCTACACCCCCCTGAACATAAGAGGATCTGCGGTGGAAGTGGTCTCCAGCTACAAGTACTTGGGTGTACACATGAATGACAACCTCAGCTGGAGAAACAGCACCACCAGCCTGATCAAGAAAGCTCATCAGAGACTCTACTTCCTCAGACGGCTGAGGCGAGCTGGTCTGGGAAGCTCAGTCCTCACCTCCTTCTACAGGTGTGCAGTGGATAGCAGCCTGTGCTCGAGCATCAATGTGTGGCATGGAGGCTGCACAGCTGCAGAAAGAAAAGCTTTGCAGAGAGTGGTGAAGGCTGCACAGAAATCTGTTGGAATCAGCCTCCCCACCATCACAGACATCTACACCTCCAGATGCAGGAAGAGGGCCACCTGCATCATGAAGGACCCCACTCACCCAGCACACACACTTTTTGCCCCACTCCCCTCAGGAAGGAGGTTAAGGAGCATTAAGTGTAGAACCACTAGACTGAGGAACAGCTTCTACCCTGAGGCTGTTAGACTCATGAATCTCTAACTAGAATAATCACTGTGAAAAACCATATCATGTTGCTGCTGATCTGTTTCATGTTGCTGCTGATCTGTTTCAAAGTTGATGTGTTCGTGCGTGCACATCTGCTCACACAGACTCATGTTCATGTTTGTGCTGATGTTCAATGTTTTTATGTTATGAGTGCTTAGTGTATATTTAGTTGATGTTTTTCTTAGTTCATATCTTAGATGTTATTACTGTTTTTCTTATACATTTTATTGTTGGATGTAACTGGGACCCTGTGTACATAATTTCGCTCCACCACATGTACCACATGAGGTGCGAATGACAATAAAGAAACTCTGACTCTTGTAAATGAGCCCCCGGGGATAAATAAATGTTGAATTAAGGCATCAGGATACAATATGATTTATTTAAAAGGACTAATGTGTTGTATCAAAGACAATAAATGAGGATTTATTAGATATTTCATTGTCAGTGAGTCTGTCTTAATGATTTTTGGTCTAATTTCAGACCTCTAAGAATGTATTCAGATTACCTGCAATACCGTATCTGACCTCCAGGGGCAGCAGAGTTTAGAATTGGATGACCCGGATGTTGATTGGCTCTGTGTTGAAAGACCACGCTGCTTGCGTGGTGCTGCTACTTTCTTCACACTAATGGACACCTTCGAGCTGTTTCGGAAGCTCGGAGCTGGAGCTAAATTTGACTTGAAGAGATTTGGTCTCGACGCCGCTCGATTTAAGGTGAGTTTGGTGTAAGTAGGTGGTAAAATGCTGTCAGCTAATGTTAGCTGACCGCTTCTTCCAGTATTGCTTTTTTCTTTTTCGTTTTAGCGGTGAAGGACAGCATCAACTTTGGAAGTTACGGGTTATCTGTTAAACTCATAACTAATATTATCCTGTGTGATATATTTGTAGGTTGTCAGATCTCAGGGAGAAAAGGCAACTTCAGATTGTCTCTCTGAGATCGACTACTTTGGCTCAGGCTCAGCTAATGGAGCCCAGAGACGTGATGAGGAGGAAAGTGACCGCGGACACTCGACTGAGATTGGGAAGAGGAAGCGCAAGGAAGAAGAGATAGATGTGAAGCGCCAGAAGAAAACGAGTAGAAGCAGCACGATGGAGGTGGGAGGTAAAGGAGGCATTATTATTATTATTTAATATTGTACAACTTCTTATAAGATAACCTAACTGCTTCTCAACCAGAGCATGTTAAGATTAACTTATTTTTCTTTTCTGGAGCCATGTTGAAACAAATATATTAAGACATTTCAGTATTTGGTCTTAAAGAGTAGCGTTATAAAGTTTGGTACATCTTTAAAATATGTAGAAAAAGTAACCCGGTTATAAAGGCATCATAATTTATTGTGCTATTTGATATTATTGATAAAACCTTGTCATCCCTCCCAGTTCTAAACATCACATTCTTATGAAGGTTCTGGGGAAAGTAAATATCCCAACAGTTGCTTGTTATGAGATTTGATACCAACATAATGTAGCTGTCCATTTTAGAGTATTACCTCTCTTCTGTCTGTCTCAAGGTGCTGCTCAGCAGCTGAGTGACACTCAGGGCATCACTTGGACCTCCCTGGACAAAACCCCTCAAACCCTGCAAAGAGACGGGAATGGGAAGTCCTCGTTGAAGAGACTGAAGCATCTTCATCTGGAGAAGGTCTTAACAAAATCCAGACATTATGTTCTGTTGAAATCATGTTCAGAGGGAAAAAAAATCCTCATGCATTGTAACGTTTTACCTTTTGCTGTTTAAAAGTCTTTTTTTTTGTGTGTGCCTTTGTTTGATTTTTAAGGTGAATCAAATTCGTGCTAAACACCGTATAAATGTGCACGGCAGCGACGTGCCCGACCCTGTGTGCACATTTGAGGAGCTGCAGTCCGAGTATCACCTCCACACACGCATTCTTCAGAACCTCAAAGATGCAGGGCTGAACTCTCCAACGCCGATACAGATGCAGGCGATACCGCTCATGATGCACGTGAGTGCACGGTTAACGGATGAGGAATGGGGCAAAGATGGTGATTATTGAGAGGATTTCTGTTCGTCTCGTTTGTCGCTCAGGGTCGGGAGCTCTTGGCGTGCGCTCCCACGGGATCGGGGAAAACGTTGGCATTCTCCCTTCCGCTGCTCGCCCACCTGAAGCAGCCAGCAAATCTGGGCTTCAGAGCTCTGATCATCTCTCCAACCAGAGAACTGTCTAGTCAGGTACACAAACACGGGACTGATTTGTCTTAGTTAAAAAACCAAAACAGGTCTGGGTGGTCTGTCATTTTCTGTGATCCTAAATACAGTTGGATTTGTTGTGTTCAGACCCACCGAGAGCTGCTCCGCCTGTCAGAGGGAGTCGGGTTTAGAGTTCACATCATTGATAAAGCTTCCCTCGCTGCCAAGAAATATGGCCCACAGTCAAACAAGAAATATGGTATGTGAAAGTAATGGTTTTTATTTGAGGTAGAACATGTACCGTATTTTCCGCCGTACACATCGCTCTGCCCTGTAAGTCGCATCAGTCCAAATATGTCTAATAAAGTGGAAAAATCCATAAATATGTCGCCTCGCCGTATACGTCACATCTATTATGCGTCACCGCTGACAACCCGGAAATGTGGGCCGGTGCTGTGCCAAAAATCGATTGGCTGCTAAATGGCGGCCGTGGGAGCGTGCACGGGAGGACTTTGGTCAGCTGTGGCCGAGTGGTTAGAGCAGTCGTCCTCCAATTCAAGAGTTGGGGGTTCGAATCCACCAGCAGTCACATGCCGAAGTGTCCAGCAAGACACTGAACCCCTCATAGCCTCTGATGTGTCCCGTCAGTGTATGAATGTGATAAAGCACTGATTATTCTCTTTAGAATGATTTATTCAATTAGCTTTGTATAAATCTAGTAGAGTGCTGTATAAATGGGTAATGAGGCACAGATTGTTGTAAAGTGCTTTGACTGTGTTGATCAGATAGAAAGGCGCTATATAAGTACAGTCCATTTACCATATACTTTAACAAGAATTTAACAAGATTAACACTTAAAAACAATTATTTGCTCAAAATTATAGTACAGGTGGTTCCCAGTCTAACATTTCCTTAATAAATGCACTTTGACAGTCAAATCAGCTGCATTTCAAAAGTATTTGCTGCCCCCGTGCTCCGGGAGCACGCAGACCGGGAAGAAAAAAGGAAGGAGGAACACTGCTCATTTCTTCGCAATTTAACAAGAAAAACACCTAAAACAATTATTTGTTTGTTCGAAATTATAACAAATGTGTGTCTCAGATGAACTTTTACTTAATAAATGCACTTTAATGGTCAAATTAGCTGCATTTCGTCGGGGCGGTGCAGCGAAATGAATCTGATTTGACGGTTGCTCCAAGCAGCGAGCAGAACGAAGGTAGCGGACTTTGGCAAGCCGATTGTGTCGTTAATAGCTGGCCAGGACATGGTAAATTCAAAAAAGTTCAAGACAAAAAAACAACAAGGTATAAAGTAAATTTAAAATAAATAAAGTCCAGTTGTTTTTGTCTTGAACTTTTTTGAATTTGTCATTATAGCCATGTTTACCTATTACGTGATGCAGTGGCATGCCATACTACTTGAGTGCCATCTAGCGGCTGAAAATGGTAGTGCTCAATTTTTTCAGTCAGAATGAATGAAAACTGTCATATCTCAGCCAAAAATTGGTTTATGATTTGGGAAAAAAAATCCATAAATATGTTGCTTTGGTGTATAAGTCACAGGGCGTGTAAATTATGCTAAACAAACGTGACTTATAGGGCGAAAAATACAGTAGTTCTTTTTCCTCACTGTTTGAACCCTGTGTTTCTGAGAGCAGATATCCTTGTCAGCACTCCAAACAGACTGATCTACCTTCTGAAGCAGGACCCTCCTGCTGTTGACCTCAGCAGGTGACCTTTTGTTAGTTTTTCTGATCTGTTCGTCTTCTCTGTGTGTCGTGAGTTCTCAGCTTACTTTTTTTTGCCCGACTGCTTTGTTGCTCAGTGTGGAGTGGCTGGTTGTGGACGAGGCTGATAAGCTGTTTGAAGACGGTAAGACGGGATTCAGGGAGCAGCTGGCCACGATTTTTCTCGCCTGCTCTGGTGCAAAGGTGCGCAGGGCTTTCTACAGCGCCACGTGCACACAAGAAGTAGAACAGTGGTGCCGGCTGAACCTCGACAGCCTGGTTTCTGTCAACATTGGACACCGGTAATACTCTGCCAGTGACTATCAATATTTCTGTGGATTTATTAAGCTTTTCCTCCTTCGTGTTAAACTATAATTATTATATTATCCTGTTCAGAAACACGGCAGTGGAGACGGTGGAACAGGAACTGCTGTTTGTTGGGACAGAGAGCGGAAAGCTTGTGGCCGTGAGGGACATCATCAAGAAAGTAAGATTGAATTTAAAAGCTTTAATGTTAAAGCTTTTACCGATTGAATGAAGGTGAGTTTTTGTTGCTGTGTTTCAGGGTTTCCTCCCTCCCATGTTGGTGTTTGTTCAGTCCATAGAGCGAGCACAAGAGCTCTTCCACGAGTTGGTGTACGAAGGCATCAACGTAGACGTGATCCATGCCGAGCGCACGCAGCAGCAGGTACGCTTCAACACCAGGCGCTCCCTTCGGTCTGTTTTCATTCCTACATGTGACTTCTACCTCTTCCCTTCTGGCTCCTCTGTCTCAGAGGGAAAATGTGGTGAACAGCTTTCGCTCCGGTAAGATTTGGGTTCTGATCTGCACGGCTCTGCTTGCCAGAGGAATCGATTTCAAAGGAGTGAACCTCGTACTGAACTACGACTTCCCCACCAGCGCCGTGGAGTACATCCACCGGATCGGTTGGTTTGAACAGTGAAGATGGAAAAAAAGCTACTTAGATATGAACTGATTGTTGGAATAAAGTCTCAAAAGACTAAATACTGTATGAGCTAAAAGTTTTTGACCCATTGTAGAGCTTCAACGTTAGTCTGCTATCTGTTTAAATACTAGGTAACTCGCACATGTTTAAAAATGTTGCTCTGATGTGTCTCTGAAGGTTTTGTGCCAGTTAGTTTCTTCACGTCTCTTTGTTTTAGGACGAACTGGTAGAGCAGGGCATCGGGGGAAGGCCATCACTTTCTTCACAGAGAATGACAAACCGTTGTTACGCAGGTAAAACTCTTACTTTAAAAGGAGACTTAATCTCTGCTAACGTTTATATCAGTTTTCATTTGTGCAGAGGTGTTAGAGCTACTAACGGGAAGAATGATGGGGCTAAAGTTGAGATCTGAAGTTATGATCAACATTAATAATTCAAATTGTAAAAATACAGTCTGTAAGTCAGTACAAGTATTACTAAATCTTTTCACTTTAAAGTTTTAGATATAATGACAGAGGGGATACAAGCATAAGAAGTGAATGAGGGCAAAGTCATATGGATTTAGCACATTTTTACTAGAGCCCGAGCTGCCCGACCGATTGGAAATTTTAGATTTCGTGATAGCGATATTGGGAGGGGAAGGCTAATGCCGAGAACAGATATAATGGCTGAAAATATTTTAGTTTTGTCCACCCCCGATAATCTAAGTAAGCAGCTACTTTAAAACCTGTTCTAACACTTGAAGTCTTGAAACAGTCTTCATAATGTGCGTTCACATGTTCTGTCCTCCACTGTTCTCAATAAAGTTATCAAGTGTGTTACAAAAATATAAATTAGACAAAGAAACACCCTTCCTTGTTTATTTTTCAAACTTTCAGTTACGTATGATGAAAGCCTCGTTAGTATTGTCTGTAGCAGTGGTTTTTTTTTGTCTTTGTAGAAAAGTTAAGATTTCAGACAAACGATGCATTTCATTGAGGACGACAAAGATAACATTACTAACCCTGATCTATATTTTACCTCTACGTTAGAGTTTTTGTTCTAGATAAAGTTTTATAAGACAATAGTCTATGCTAGGTTACCTAAAGATTAGCTTGCTAACTTAAGAGGCATGTAGCTACCTTACCATTTTATTTAAAGAGCACTTAAAACAGCGACAAGGCCAACCAAAGTGCTGTACAAACAGAAAAACAGGCAACACACAAGCAACATACAAAATGAAGTTAAATCAGAATAGTTTGGAGGATTGAAGAGAATTTATGACTGATTTTTTTAATTTATTTTACAGATCAGTTCAAATAAACTTACCATGTTTTGTTCAGCAAAAGCAAAATATGCTACCTGCTTCAGCTGTGCTGAAAGTGAAAGTTAAAGTGAACGGCCATGTCTTGCAAGTAGTTCGCATGCGCCCTCTGCTGGATACATTGTGCAATCACACCTTTTGCCAGTAAGGACACGGCTGGTTCCCAGTGTTTAAATCGGTGCATAATGGGACAATTGTCATAGATACCAATATGTCCCCTAATGCCTATATTGGCCTATAATATCAACCCTACCAGTGTGTCGGTCAGGCTCTAATTTTTACCTTCAGGGTCGTCGGAGGCCAGATCAGTACAGTTGATCTTTATAAAAAAAACTCTTTGTCTACCTCGGCTGTCACAAGCCAAATAAATAAATAAAATAACACTAAATACATTGTAGGCACCACAAGTTGCTGAATGCTTGAAGATTCTAAATCTGATTTCATCTGATTTTATTTCTTTTCATTTATTGGTTTATCTCAAAGTGACAGAACTCATTAATAGTTATTAATGCACTAAACAACTTTTTTCCCTCCCAACAGCATTGCTAATGTGATAAAACAAGCTGGCTGTCCTGTTCCAGACTACATGACAGGCTTCAAAAAGATACACAGGTAATGGGTACAGATGGTGATAAACTCATATTCGAGTGTGTGAAGCACATGTCATTTGGTTGTTTCAAGTGGTCCCCCATTATTTTAACTTTTAGTTATGATTTTCTGGTTTATTCTGTTTCTATTTAGCAAAATAAAGCGAAGACTTGAGAAAAAACCTCCCAAGAGAAGCACCATTTGCACAACTCCTCGCTTCCTAATGAAGGAGAAAGGCAAAGCACAGAAAAAGCAACAAACGCAGAAAGAAGAAACTAAACCTCCAACAGCAGCACAAAGACAAAAAGACATAAAGAAGACAAACAGGCATGAGAAAAAAGCACCAAAAGGAGGGGGAACAAAAAAACACAAAGGCGCAACTCAGAAGATGGGATCAAATTCCTCAGGAGTTAAAATTAAAAAGTGAGGAAGGTTGTCTTTGTGTGGAATTTTTGAAATGCTGTGATAAAGGAAGAAACAAGATTAAAGTAAAAAATAACTGTTTTATGTCTTTACCAGGAAGAAGAGTCAGAAAGTTTAATCAGAGACGGCAACGGAGGCAAGAAACGACTTGAGAATAATGTGGACTTTGACTTTTTCATCAATATTTAGCAGTTTTTATTTTCACATTTGTGCATTGTATCATCAAAGTTAAAAAATAAATAAATGTGTGTATGTTATTCTTAACTTTGAGTTTTACTTTACGGTCTGAGTTGATAACCAAGCAGCTGACAGTAGCTAATGGAAATTAAATAAAAAATGTCCTCAAACTCCTCAAGAAATACTGGTGGAGGAATAAAAATGGAAAATAGTATGTTGCTTGTTCTTTCATTTCATTATATATGAGTAGGGGGTTGAAAATTATATTTTGATGTGTCTGAACTGACAAGAGTTGAGAAAATAAGATTAGATTGAAGGGACAGATTCAAGTGTGATTAAAAGATCAATAGACAGCTATTCAGATATAATCTGAGTTCCTTTCTGGTGAATTATGCTATACCTTTATCTTGATAGACTATACTTTATTGTTTGATGCCACTGATGTTTATACAATATAGAAATTCCCACTCTGTATTATTTGTCTCAATCTGATGTCATAACTATTTTTTTTTCTAAAAGGTAGATCCATAAGGAAGAATGTTTATTTTCCTCTGCACACGTTTTGGCTTTTCTAAATGGATTCACTGGGGGGAAAAAAAGACTGATGGGTCATTCCAGTTTTCATACATGTTTTATAACATGCTGTTGGAACTTTTTATCCTAAAGTCACATATTTAGGTGGTTAACCAGAGACTTTTTCTCAATTATGTTATGCGTTTCCACGTAAACTAAAAATATAGCACGTAAATTTACTAAAAACGTTTCTGAACTTTTTAGAGTTCTGGCGTACACATGCGCATTGCGCTCCTAGCGCTTCCTTGATATCGCGATATCGAAGTGAGATCTCGCCCCTGCACTATAGTGCAGGAAACCCCGTCCGCTCTTCCTTTCTCAACATGGCACCGAAGGTGAAGAAGGAAGGTTCGTTATTCTACTAGATCTGAATGAATAAATTTAATAATTTCTCCTATCTGTGCTTTAAAGTTTGACCATATTTGTTTGAAATAAGAGTATAAACCCTTAGTGTTGCCAGAGTACTGCTGACTTGTTTATAAATATGTTTATGGCTAAATGCGTGTTCCGCTCTGTAAAGTTAGCGTTAGCCTAATCATTGCCGACAAAACGTGGTTCACACACAGCAAGTGTAGTTCTCATTTATTCTCTGCGTTTTGTGTGAAATAATTATCCAGTTAATGTCGTTTCGTGGTTACTTGCACATTTAGTCTATTTTCTAACGGCTAATTATTTGGATTAGCTGTTTAGCTTCTGGTTGTCCAGAGGTGCACTGGATCCGCAGAAACCTGTTCAGAACCGAACGTCGTCCGACATGTAGACTTGATTCTGTGAAGCCATTGATTCAAGTGTTGGATTTTGTAGCTCAGGTGAATATTTTCACGTTTGACTGAAGCAACCTTCAAGTTGTCCATTACTTTTGATTATACCTCAGGACAACGTGGCACAAATATAATGGTTAATGATGGTTGAATGGCTGAGTATGAAGTCGATCAGTATTTCTAGTCTTATTAAATATTGTAATAACATTTTCACGTATTGTAAGTGGAATTAAAAACACTTAACGATTTGTATGTAACGACTTATTGTTGTTGCTCTTGCATTCTCATGTTGTAAATGTGTTTGCAAAACTAAAATGTTATATTTTCTTATTCTTAGCTGTCCCTGCCAAGACTGAGGCCAAGTCAAAGGCCCTGAAGGCCAAGAAGGCCGTGCTCAAAGGTGTCCACAGCCAGAGGAAGAAGAAGATCAGGACTTCTCCCACCTTCCGTCGCCCTAAAACCCTTCGTCTTCGCAGACAGCCCAAGTATCCACGCAAGAGTGCTCCTCGCAGGAACAAGTGAGTTTTGACCACTCGTGTAACGAAAAACTAGTGAACGTTGGTGCACATGATGGTGTTTGAGCGATCAAAGTATGAAAAAGTCTGATTACAGCTTTTAACTGCTGATGCAACCTCAGTTCACTTTCATAGTTTCAGAGATTTTATAAGCTGCAGGTGAAAGTTTAGGTTTAAAAATCATTTTTTGTTTGTTTTTAGGCTGGATCACTACGCCATCATAAAGTTCCCTCTAACAACAGAGTCTGCTATGAAAAAAATTGAAGACAACAACACACTTGTGTTCATTGTTGACATTAAGGCCAACAAACATCAAATCAAAAACGCAGTCAAGAAGCTGTACGACATCGACGTCGCCAAAGTCAACACGCTCATCAGGTGAGACGTCATCTGCCAGTACTTCAGATAGATTGTGTGAAAACGGATATTTAAGTATTTCCTTTAGCATAGCAGGCAAGAGAAAATTAATCTGATGGGTGTTACAAAGCAAGTTTGTTGTAATTTATTATTTCTTTGTTTAAACCGAATAAACAATTAAGACTGGTTATTTTAAGAGTATTAACTGTTTATATCACAGATCATTTAACGCCAATTCTGCACAGTGTACATATATTCCCAAAATAATTGGCAACATTTGTTTATAGCTTTAATAACGAGTTTTAATCGAATTACATAATCAGGCATCAATATCTGCAGGCAGCACTTGAGGTTCACCTTTAACTGAATCAGTTGCTTGTAGTGTTTTATTTTTTTAACCCATCTAGTTTTAAATGTTTTTGTGCTCAAGTTAATGTATTTTTCTTTTAACCAAATTTTGTCTTGCAATGGTAGTTTTTTTTTTTTTTTTTTTTTAATTAACACATTATGGAAAACTTAACAAATGATGTACATTTCACGTGAAAGAATAACTTCTTTGCTCTTTGTCAGGCCCGACGGCGAAAAGAAAGCGTACGTTCGTCTCGCACCAGATTATGATGCATTGGATGTTGCGAACAAAGTAAGTTTTGAGCAGGGTTCATAAATGATTTATAGTTTAAGCTCTTAATATTTTTCAGTTCTGTGCACGTGATGTAAACGTTTTAGTCTGATTGCCTGTGATGCATTCAAAGGAACCACTGATGCCAAACTCTGTCAAGTAGGTGTGTTCACACTTTGAACGAGCTTTGTGTAATTTTCCCAATTTTCTTTTTCCCCCTCAGATTGGCATCATCTAAAGTGGCTGGAAAACTTGTAGAGGAATAAATATTTGTAAAAACTTGTTCTGTCTCGTGTTTTAAAGATGCTGCTGTACAGAATTTAAACATTTCCGTTCCTGACTGTAAAGAGGTGAGAGTTTATAAGTAGCATTTAAAAAAAGAAAATTGTAAATTACTTCACAATTTGTTTGAGCTTTCACTGTTGTCTGTATTTAAAGACACGTTAGGCGTATTTAGTGCAGATACTGGTAGTTTAGCTTTGACTTTAAAGGCAAAACTTGTAAAAAAACAAACCATCTAGTAAATGTTCACACAAACTGCTTTAAAAAATACTGCTTACTGAATGGGAGCTGCATGTCATTTTTTTGTCTGAGGTCAATTTCTGTGATAGCTTTTTTAAATTTAAACATCCAAATATTCATTATCTTCCATTTCAAGCATAATTATAACACTGAGGTCAGTTGTATGGAGGACTGAATGTGATCAAATAAATACACAATAATGGAATGTATCATTTAATTATTAGAAACATTAAGTTATATAAATTATTAAATACACCATTATTTATTTCATGATATAATTGTGCATTTCATGATTTATTCAATCTTGTCACATTCCACCCTCGTGTGTCACCATGAAATTGTTAAACGTCAGCGTCTCATCAAACAGTGGGCGGGACTAACGCTGAGCATGTGAAATCCATTGCTTTGGTCTGATGTCAGTTAATTTTATTTGAAACTCAGGAGTGTTCATGCAGTGGCCTTGTTTACAACAGAGCCGAGCTTATACAACAGAAAACCTTAACCTGTATAAATTAAAGATGAATGGGGGAAAAAAACAAGCATACAAAATATGTGAAAATGGTGTTTCAAAGAAAATAAGGAAAATCATAAAACTTTTATCTATTATGCATTTGTTTTAATGTTATATTTTTATCCATATTTTGTATATTTTCAGAGTTCACAAAAACTTATCACCATTGCTCTATAATGACACCTGGTCTATGTGATCCACTTTAAATGATTTATTTAGGAAACTTGAATAAATCTAGGCTTTTTGTGAGATCATGCCAGTGATTCATATATCATTACTCCTAACTGCACTCATGCAGCTATTTTATCATTTTTTTTAAAAACTAAACAATACCATAACATTTGAAGCATGAATTTATATTACTTGTGCAAATTAATACATAGGGTTATGAAACAAGTGAGAAACTTAAAGCTCCACATTTCCTCCCTCTGTACCTGAATAGTCCTGCAGCCCTGAGGGACTCCTTCAGAGCAGCAGCACGACTCCTTACTCTACTCCTCTGTCCACCTCATCAGTGCCTTACCGTAGTCTTGTGGTTTAACTGGGTGTTTTACAATGTTGTGTTGCTTAAGCTCTACAGATTTTCCACAAACCGTTTCTTCACAGTTTTTGGAGTTGAAAAGCTTCACGTGACCCCGTTAAGCTCCGTCATCGTGTCTACAGACTGAGATAAGAGCACTAGCAGCGTGACACTGCGTCTCCATGCATTACCCAGGTGGAAGAAAAATGCATTTAATTTAGACAAGATCTCAATGGTTACTTTCCAACATTTCCTGTTAATGATATGCATTACCTGAAATGACTGAAGTAACAAAAGTATCGATTAATTCAAGAAAAGTTTTGGTATGATCCTGATAATGTAATCTGTTTAAACCGTATTACAGCTATAAACAAATATTGCCAATTATTTTGGAAATGTAGTGAGGTTGACATAATTTCATGGTGACATTGGAGGGCAGAAGGTGATAAATCTTGAAATTTAAAAAGTACATTTCATTATTTAATGGTATATTTAATAATTTGTGTGTTTAATAATTATACATTTAATTAAGTGTGTAATAATTTAATCACATTCTGTCCTCCATACAGTTGTAGCATGATGGATTGTGTGTAGATACAGTTAGATGCTAAGGCAATTAAATGTAAAATAAAAAAAACTACATACAGTGGGTTAAATGTTTCTGAAAGTTCAGACAGATGTGAACTACTGCTGCATGGACAATTCACTCCATTAAACTTAACAGGTGAACTTTAAATGTAAAATATATAAACTTTTTACAGTAAAAAGCACAGGACTAAGCACATTAAATCACAGTGATGCCACAGCATCAGCTGGTTATGACAGGAAGGTCCGGACCGTGCCTTTGACCAAGCCTCTGCATATCGGGCACTTCCGCAGGGACGGTGCACACTCTTTGCACACCACAAGGTGTCCACATGGGATGAAGACAATGTTGACCTCCTTGTCCATGCACACCTTGCAGGTACGCTCCTCCTGCAGGCGTCGCAACTGCTCCTCCATTGGCAGGTCTGCAGTGGTGTGGAGGGGTGTGTTAGGGAAATGTCTACACCTGCTTACACTTATTAATGAAGAGCTTATTTCAATGGATCTCCAGATGAACAGTGAGTTCAGTTTCATACCTGACAGATCTTGGCTCGGTGAAGTTGCTTCATTCGACTGAGCTGAAGGGAAAAAGGGACAAAACCAGGTTTTGGTAAATGCCATCAACAACATTCATACTCTAAATAAAAGCAGGATGCAGTCCAGACTGATGTAAAATATGTCTAGTTTTGATCAGTTAATTTTAGTTAAATTAGTTTCCGAACGAACACAAGGCTCTGTGAAAGGCGCACCCATGAGGTCTCTGAGGAGGTGGACGTCGTTTTTCTGGATCCAGTTGCGGAACACCTCAGCTGCAGCGTTTCCTTTAGTGAGAACGAGCTCAATCAGCCTGGCCGTCTGCTGCTGGGCCGACGTCTGAGCCTGGAGACTGCTGTACTCCTCAGCAGCTGCAGGGTAAAGGAAGCAAAAACTTGCAATTAAGACCTTTATTTCACAGGCTTGTCTAACTTTGATCAATATTTTTTCTTTTGTGGGGAAACTGATACACCATGGGTGAATAAATAGAAGTTAGCATACACAACACGTTTTGCTCTCTTAAATGCTCCAGCACTGGCTCGACACTCTTCAGACGCTGGACCAACGTTGCCTGGTGTCTCTTCACAAACGTGAAACCATCTAAAACAGAAGAAATTTTATTTTGTTAACCAACATCGAAACAAATGAGCTTGACATTTTTAATGACAGAACATGTTGACAGGATGTTCTGAATGTCAGCAGCACCTGAGGCCATGGCCTCGGCCAGCATCTCTCTCTCCTCCTCCCTTTTCTGGTCTTCGGCACTCAGCAGATCTGAAACCAGCTCCTGGACCGTTCGGTAGTTTTCTCCACTTGTCAAGATCTTGCTCTGGACGGTTTGCTTAACTAAACTGCGCTCGAAGCCCATCTCTAAAGCAGATTTAATCACAGGCGTGTTCATCATGACAGCATCTTCAGACCGCTCCTCTCCTGGACCCAGGTGGACCACTGCAACACAACAGATGTTCTGCTGCTTGTAAAGTTTATGGAATTTTTTTATTTTATTTTGAAACTCGGGATCTAACTGAGAAAGGTTTAGACCTTTCTAAAAATTGTCTCAAGTTCATGAACAGGGTTGTTTAGCCATCAAGTGTTAACTCTCACTCACCAGGAGGATCCATAAACTCTCTGGAGTTGTCTCCATTTGTTAAAAGCTTTTAGAGAAAAACAAAACAAACTCATTTAAATCTGTTATTGATTGTGGGTGGGGGGTGGGGGTCTAAAATGTTGCTATATAATAACCTGTTCAAACAGCCGAGGGAACCGAGCTTGAATCTGGTGAACAAACTCTTGTCCTTTCTCCTGAAGCAAATATTCACACCTGTGACCAAGAAAATTATTATTATACATCAAACATCATTCTCAGAGACGATTAACTGACAACGTGTTCAGAAGAAATAAGTGCTATGGATTGTTGTTGGACAGGATGGTGTTCTTTACCGAGGAAACCATTTTGCATGTTCCACCCACGGGTCGTCTCCAGACTCCCAGCACCGCAGACCTCCGTCACAGCAGAAACACTTCACGTCATCGTTTCTCCCTTCGAGGAGAGAACATACGAAGCCGTCAGTAAAACTAGTGGTTTAGGGGAATTTGAAGTGGAAAAAGACTAACCAAAAGTGAACTAATCCCTGAACTGTAATTTGTCGTAATACTACGTTTAGATTTACTGTAATATTTTGTTTTTGATCAGTCCTCCATAAAAATTGTGAAATTTTCACAACAAATATTCAATAAAACAGAAATGGAAAAAAATCTCCTGTATTAAAAATCCCCTCCACTCAGGACCAGTCTAAAAACATTAGCTTTCTACATATTTAAACAAATATTAATTAATATTCACTAAGCTTAGCTAAACTGAAATATGCTTTGTGTTTTTAATAACATGCAGGTAATTTCTGTATAGTCTAAGTATATATTATTTATTGGACAAATATTTTATGAATTAAAATATGAACACACAAAAAAAAGTTTCCTCTTCTTTTGCTCCTTTTTGTCCTTACCTACGTAGTAGAAGCCAGCCTTAGCCAGCTGCTCGGGACGCACAGGAATACGAGACGGCCAGTTGACGAAGGTTAGCAGCCTCTCCTCGCTCTGCTGCATGGACGGGTTGGACACGTTGGTGAGAGTGAGAGCCCCAGCAGACATTTGGGATGTTACTCCTGATGTTGCAGTTGCTGCAGCGCCAGCCAGCGACACATTGTCGGCTCTGTCCCCGCGGACAAAACGACAGTTTGGATAATGCCTTTGGTGCTCAGATGCAGCTCGGTCACCCGGCTCCCAGTTGTTCAGCTGAAAGGAAAAACAAACTTCAACTGTCAAACAACTTTAAACACACTTCACCTGAATGATGCTAGTTGTGGTTTTCAATGATGCTAAGAACAGAACACCTACTTTTTGCAGAGCTTTTTCACTTTTAAACTACTTTAATGATATTACATTCAGTGTATTGATACAAAGACACACTTTTTGCTAAAGAAGTCCACTTTACTCTCACAAAAAAAACAGTCTTTGCAAAAACACACACCTGCCCACCGCAGCTGAAGCAGGCCACTCTGTCACCTTGTCCCAGGTAGTAGAAACCTGCCTTTGCGAGCTCTGCAGGAGTGATTATAGAGAGTGTCCAGGAGTGAAAGGAGACCAGGCGATCTTGCTCTCTCCGCATGGTGGGGTTGTGACATGTCGGTCTCTGGTGGGACATGTCCTCCACGCCACGAGAGCTCAGCGGGCTGGAGGGCGGCAGGGCAGAGAACGCTGTGTTTAAGAAACCAACCGTTTCTTCACCTTGACTTATTGCTGGGTTAGGAGCAGCAGGGCCTGGACCAGAAAGCTGAGGAACAAAGTAAAGACAATCAAAATGAACACTTAAATACAGGAGAGGACTTTCTACAAACAGAATTTAGAATTTTATTATGAATCTTACTGGTATAGCTGGAGCGATGCGGAGTGGGGAGAAGGCTGAATGAGAGGAGGAGAGCAGGTTAGTGGTGGACGGGAGGCTCTGGATGAAGGAGCATGAAGGAGAGAGCTGTCTGTGCTTCTCTGTCGGACAGTCTCCAGCCTGCCAGCCCTCGGCGGTCACGTTACACCTGAAACACTGAACACGGTCACCCGTGCCGGTGTAGTACCAACCTGCCCTCGCCAGGCTTCGCTCCGTGACCGGAGATGTCGGGAAACAAGCAAAGGTGGAAAGTCGGAAAAGCTCTGGAAAGGACAAACAGCACAGTGTCACATTTCATGAGAACAAACACACAAATTATTATTTTTTTTTAAATAAAATGCCAAAGACAAATAAATTCAGGTACCTGAGGAGTTGTCATATTGTAAGTCAGGTGGGGGCCCATTACGACACAACCCCATCAAAAATGGGCTTTTTTTTAGTTGGAGAAGAGTTTCCATTAATGGATTTGATTGTAGGAAGAAAAAAGAGATGTCCATTACAGGGAGAGGGGTTTGAGAAAACCCAAGGTCTCACTCAGCCACACACACACACGCGCTCAAATGTCACATTCAAAATGAAACTAAGTGAAACTAAGTCAGTAATAAGGGGAAACAGTAACTCAAAGGGGGAGCTTTAAAGACAGTGAAAAAGAAAATGAGATTTACATAAGTGTAAACTTATGACAACAGCTCCTGGGAAAAGAAACAAAAACTAGTAATCCAGCAACCATCATCATTACACATGACTGAATCCATGTTTATACCCTCATACATTCTCAGTATTTCAACTTTACTTGCTTCCAATACTGCCTGAACCAAGCAACAAGTTTAAACCCTGAACTGCAGAAACTCCAACATCACCTTTCCAGTAACAGTGCAAAATCTACGTCTAAAAGAACACTGTGCCATAAAAGGATGATCCATTAAACGTGATTAAAGCAACACCTTGAACTCATTGTGAGACGGCACCATGAGTCAGATCATCCAGGATCAGTGTACACTTTGTTGTCTTGTGCGTTTAGTGACAACCGATCCAACCAATTAAACTTTGACATTTGGTGGGTGAGTCTGTATTTAAAGTAAAAACTAAAAAACCCAAACTTGCACACATACACACAGACCTGGGGAAATTTGCTCTCAAACCCCTCCCCCCATCCTGGACATCCCTTCTGTGGGTGTTTAGGCTTCCATAATTGAATAGTAACAATCCTATTAAAATGTTTTAATCCTTTGGGGGGAATAAAACTGCCTCCTCAGTTGTATTGTTGGCAAAACCTGTAGAAAAAAGATAAGACAACAAAACATTAACAAAAAGATACTGTACATGTAAATGTATTATGTGTTTCAGTATCTTCTGCTTCGAGTACAAACCAGAATCACAGAACAGAAATTTTACAGCTTTTGGTTCAACTCTTCATCAAATAAATGCCTTTCTAATGGAGTGATAATGCTGTACTTATATAGCGCCTTTGTATCTTATCGAGACACTCAAAGCTCTTTACAACAATCTGTGCCTCATTTACCCATTCATACAGCATTCTACTAGATCTCTAGAAAGCTAATTGAACAAATCATTCTAAAGAGACTAATCAGAGCTTTATCACATTCATACACCGATGGAACACATCGGAGGCAACGAGGGGTTCAGTGTCTTGCCCAGGGACACTTGGGCATGTGACTGCTGGTGGATTCGAATCCTCAACTCTTGCATTGGAGGACGACTGCTCTAACCACTCAGCCACAGCTGCCCTGGAAATTATTTTTATGTAAACAAAGTTTCAGTTTCTGTGGGGAAGGTTAAGATCATCTGTAAACAAAATTTGTCGAGTTAAATGTTATATTATAATATTATATAACCTGGAGGGGAAATTAGTGTATTATTTATCCAGGTGCATGCTCAGTAATGTGCAACATTTACAAAAACAACTTAAAACTGAAGGATCAAGTCTTGAGAAAAATATGGAACAAAATAAATGTGGTGCAGGTCAGTTTATTAACAGCTAGACAAGTCCATGCTCAACAATCCAGGTATAGAATCCAACAATCTTCAGTCAGGTCATCTGGACGGTTTCTTTTCTAGACGGGACCTTAAAATGAAAAACTCATTTCTTCCAGGAAGACTGGAATAAGCCATTTGGATTTTATTTTTAAAACTGGGATTGAATCAGAAAACATATACAGTTTAATTAATGAAATTTAAAAAACAGACACTTTTGGCTGTTAATATATTTTGATCCCTACCAATACAATTTTAGTTGTGGCATATATATATATATATATATATATATATATATATATATATA